GCGGGCTGGCCTCCTCGCCGCTCCCGCGAGCGCGCAGCGGGGATACGGAGTCAAGTCGGGGGAAAGTATGGAGCAAACTGGAAACACGCCAGCTCCACGCCGTGCCCGCAGCAAGGTTGGAGGCAAAGCTGCCAGCAAATGGAGTATCTCAGCATGGCCTATATTCCAGCGTGGCAACGATGGAAACATGAGCGCACATTATTTTTCCGCTCCCCTTCCATACAAGGGTTACGCTGAAATAAAACAAAAATTCTTCCTGTATAGGGAAAAATATTAAAATTCAGCCAAGCTGCTCCACTAAATTCAGTGGAAGTGACAGAAAATAAATGCTGCCGTTGCAGCTTCTCAAAGTCCTAATTCTGAAAGATTTCTACAGATAGCTATGCCAGTCAGTGCTAGCATGTTCCCAGAAGAAGAGCACACAACTGAGACAGGCAGATATCTGTGTTTTAAATACTGCAAAGAGGAAGCAGCAGGGAGGGAGGAGGGGAGATGTGCTAACACTCACGAAAATTTAAACCTTAGTTGCATGTACAATATAAGGATATAAGGAATCTGAAGAACAGAATTCACAGTTTAAAAAAGGAGAAATCTTAATTTACAATTTGAACACAAATAGTATAAATTACGCAACAATTATTCCATTTGAGAACTCTCTGATGATTGTTAATACATCTGTCATTGAACATCAGGTCTACTCCTTACTGAGAAAATTGCTTCAAGAAAGATGGAAAATAACTGTATTTAACCTCTGTATGCATAAATGGAATATATAACGTAACAGCGAAAGGAATTAGTATGGATAAATAGGCTAATTCAATGATTTCAATATCATTTAACTTTCCAGTGTTTACATAGATATAGACTTTCAATGAACTTTTGGTGAAAACAATATTTCTCTAAATTAATATAATTTTAGTCTTTGGTCCAGTTTATTAAATTAAAAGAAACTTTTCTGATCAAGTGGAAATGTCACCAAAGGAAATTTTGATACAGCATAGGGGCTAAATTAAACAACTATGGCACAAGATGTTTTTTTCTTATCTTTCACATGATGCAAAGCTTTCAAAAGAATAACTTCCCACCGTTCCTCACAAACTTATAAATGCATGTATCCATTAGCTCCTCAGGAGGAGAATAAATATTGCTTCTAGAACACAAGACTGCAACATCAGACAAACCGTGCCGCTAAATTCCACTCAAAGCTTCTGTGCTTTCTCATATCTTTCTAATATCTTCATTCTAACCCCCTGATTATCTCTGGAGCTGC